TTCTGTCGTAAAGCTTTAGCCAAGTATTGTACTCCTTGTGGACCAATATGATTAGAGCTTAAATCAATTGAAATGAGTGTCTATGTAGAATAGTAAATAAATAATTGGATATAAAAAAGATTAAATATTACTTTGTTTTGTTGTAGAGCAATAGCAATATGTTCCGCTCCTTGTGAACCAATATTATTATCATATAACTCAAGGTCAGTGAGTGTCTTTATCAAATAAATCATAAAAAATAAAATAAAAAGTAGACTAGAAACGAAAAGAATACTTTATTGTATAGCAGAGCATTGGCAAGATATTGTGCTCCTTCATCACCGATTGTATTGCGTGGAAGATTTAGTGTGGTGAGTGTCTATGTATAAAAGTCGATGTAAAATAGACGATATAAATCACTATCTATTACTTCATTTTGTTCCAGAGCAGTGGCGAGATATTGTACTCCTTGCGATCCAATTTGATTTCCATGAAGATCAAGTGTTGTAAGTATCTTTGTACAATAATAAATCGATGATAGAATGAAAAAAAACTAAGGAAAACAACGGTACTTTATTGTATCGTAGAGTATTAGCAAAATATTCTGCTCCTCGTGATCCAATTCGATTTTCATAAAGATTGAGTGAAATAAGTGCCTAAATGGAATAATGTATGAGCGATCGGAAAACGAATATTACCTTATTTTGTCGTAAAGCATTAGCAAGATATTCAGCTCCTTCTGGACTTATGTCATTTTGGCAGATATCAAGTGTAGTGAGTGTCTATACGAAATCGGAAACCATTCATTAGCGTAAGGAAAAGGAAAAGAACGATACATGATTTTGTTGTAAAGCATCGGCAAGATAGTGTGCCCCTTGATCACCCATATGATTGGAACCAAAGTCCAATATCATAAGTGTCTATACAAATCAAGAGAAAAACAAATAAAAAAAGATGATATTACTTGATTTCGTTGAAGAGCATTCTTAAGATATTGTGTTCCTTCTACACCAATATCATTCTCATGGATATTCAGTTCGATAAGTGTCTATATGTAATTCTGATGAAATAAAAATTTGAGAGAAATAAGATAAAAAATATTACGGTATTTTCGCTAAGAGCACTGGCAAGATACTGCATTCCTTGAATACCAATATCATTATTTCGAAGGTCAAGTGTTTTGAGTACCTATGTGACGTAGTGAATGAGTGATAGGATTTGTCCGAATAGGACACTATTACTTGATTTTCTCGTAGAACATCAGCAAAATGCTCTATTCCTTGCGGTCCAATTTCATTATGTCCAATGTCAAGTGAAGCGAGCGTCTTTTGTGAAATAATTAGGAAAACAATAGATCGAAAAGAAATGTTACTTTATTGTGCTGCAAAACACTGATAAAATGTTGAAATCCAAGATCATCAATAAAATTTGCATAAAGATATAGGGTCGTGAGTGTCTATGTGAAATAATTAATTTAAAAAAAAGATAAAAGAAATATATTACTTTATTTTGTAGTAAAGCACTAGCAAGATGTTGAGTCCCTTCTTCACCAATGTCATTGCCCGACAAATGAAGTGTAGTAAGTGCCTGTGTGTGAAATAATGGCTAAACTGAAAATAGACAAAAGAAAAAACAATACTTTATTGTGTCGAAGAAGATTGGCAAAATATTCTCCTGCTTGTGTACCAATACCATTAAAGCCAATATCTAATGTAGTAAGTGTCTTTATTAAACAAAATATACATAGTTGCTTGAAGAAAAAGATGAATAAGAAAACATTACTTCATTATCTAGCAGAGCATTTGTAAGATTTTTGGCTCCTTCTAAACCGATTCCATTAAAACGGAGATTCAATGTAG